TGTAGATTTGCCTTTGGCAGCGGTATTTTAGTACCGGCAGTGTCATTCTTACTGTCATTGCGGAATTTGTCATTAGCTGAAATTGCCTGCTTTTTACCATTGTTTGATTGTTTCTCAAATGATTCATTCATCAGATGCATCGTTGTTTGAAAGAAATTAATTTTAGGCTTACTCCGATCAGACAAGCAATAGCTCAGTTTTGTCTGTACATTTTCTACTGTTTGAATTCGAGGCTTGTACTATATACCGATATCAATGGTGTTTCACCGAGGTTTGCAATGTCAATATTTGAACCACAACTTTCCTCTTATACGGTACTGGTTATTTTCGCTATGGTAGTGGTGCATGCATAGTAAAGTCAGCCATTTCGAGATGGGTCATTCCCAGATAGTATTCTGTTAAGTGCTTGGGTTGCTTATTCATATTATGTATACATAGCGACAAGTGATGAAGATGAGATAAGACGATAAAGAGTGACAAGAGCAGTATCAATCGCCTTTAATTTTTCCGCATGTCAATAGTTCTGTCTGCTTGGGCTTAATAATAAATGAACGTAGGAACTATGAAACTAACAAAATTGCGAGTAAAGTTCCCTCGGTCGATTATCTTTGTTTTTTATTTCGTGTTACATCTGCGTCGAATGGCAGTTTCATACTATGGGGAATTCTTTCTGCGTGCCAGTAGTCTGATATAAGATGTCAGTCAGAAGATGTGTGCAAATTGGCGCAAATCAGCCCTTCTGCCTATCACCGACAATAAATTCTTCTGCTCGACTGTTCTCCTGCGAAAGCATCGAAGTAGCGAGTGAGAGAGATGAAGAAATTAAGGCGCTAAGCTTTCTTTACATAGTTTATTTACAGACAACAGCTGCCATGCAGAGAGCATTAAAATACATTCGTATCCACCTAATGGTCTTCTTTTAAAAATACGGATTGTCCTTTCATTCCGTTTTGCTTCTTTTCTTCCTTCTCAAGGAAATTCCATTGGCTTTGAGTGCTTTCAGTTGGTACTATCAGGTGCATCCGATCACCCATGGGTGTACTACTTCGTTTGTTTTCGTTTTGACACAGCTAGCGGTTGCACTATGATTTCCTGCATCTATTTGTAGAGCTACTTTCCTTACGCAACATTACAGTACAACTTATGCAACGATGCCAGTGTAAATAGGCTATGTGGAGAACACGGATTTATTGTATCACTTTCTATAAAGTTTCAATTGTTTTCGTTATGCTGACTTTTAATGTGACACTCTGACAATAAGCTATCACAGATTTAAACATATACTGATACACAGACTAAAAATAATATTTTCATGCTCTCCGCTATTAACGTTTGCAACTCTTACAATTATCAGTTCGAATTTACTCAAAGAACGCCACCAGATTCAAGAATATGCAAAGAAGTAGGGGCAAGATGTTAAACAGTTTGTTTGACACGGCTGCACTTTTCATGAAGTGGTTGTGATAGTGGACGAGAAAGTAGTTCTGCACAGTTTGTGGAGGGTCCGCTGCTGCTATTTGCAGTTCCTGCCACGGCCTAGGTGAAAATCCGTTGACCCTGATCCAGAGCTGCTTGAAGTTTCGCTGATCAATGGCCGGCATAGGGGTCACAGTCTGTTTTGGCGTGAAGCCGTGTTCACCGTTCAACTGCAGCATTGGGAATCCATGTCTCTGATTTTCCTTGAACCGGGTTTGCTTGAGGCGATTCTTGCGAGGCGTTTGTTGCCTAAACAAGTTTTTTTGTGATTTCGTATAGTTCTGTCAGTGCAGTCTAAAAGTGATATCTACCTCTGTTTCGACGGAGGTCGGACGATCACAGGCCTCACCTCAAAGCCGGACTGTTTGACTAGGTCAATCACACTGTTTTTACCCAAAAAGTGGCCCGCACCGAATGCAAAGAAGAACGATTTATCAGGGTGGCTTTCCAGCAACTTGAGCACACGCTCGGCCATCCGGACGTTACGCTTGTCGATCAGTTCCTGCCTGAAGTAATCGTCGATTTCACCGTTGTTCATACCAAACACGCGTGCCTTGTCCACTTGAGTCACCTTCAACACAACATCTCTGTGTAATAAAAATGTTCCTATAGATAAATTTAATTTCATTGTACAGCTAGAATAAATTGTTAAAATTTATAAGATTGTGTCGTTAAAGGCGTCTTGAAGAAACCTCTCAAGCAATGGCACAATGACATTCTATGGAAGAGGACTAAAAGCTAAAGCACAGAAAGGAAATTCATTTCAGCAGTTATATGGTTTTAAATTTGTCACCTTATATTTTGAAGGTAAAATTATTCAGAAGATAAATAATTCGCTAACAAATGTATGCGGAAGAATTAAGCAACACTGCCTGGGTTTGTATCAGAGGACCAGGACACTGTCTACTTTCTCATTACAGGATGATATTTGCTTTAGATTTAATGATTATAAGATTGGGGAATATAATACCTATATACACCGTACCATAAAACACTTATCAGAATACACCGTCAAACAAAAAATGAAAAAAGCGTTTGTCGTCAAATCGAATCAGTAACAGCTTCCATTCTCAGGTTATAAAGCTCTGTAGCGCAGTTGCTATCTACTCATATGTGTTAACTGTGTGCTTATAAATCTTACGTTGATACTTGTGTGTGTTTGTGGGATCATCACCTTCAGCACCTTTGCATAAATAGAACGTAACTGGGTTTAGATGTCCCTTGTATTCGCAGCTTTAGAACACCTTTGCTATAAAGCACCGGTTATTGCTTCTACGCACCATGGGAACGACTGCCAACCCAACTCTGAATCTCGAGGTACAGTAGCCAATATAATGCACCCTTATAGTCGCCCATAGCAAAGACCTTATTTTCATTCCGAACAAAAAATCCCTAGGCATGGTCTTGGTTGGCAAAGAATGATCGAGGTTGAACCTGATTCGAACAGGACACGGTCAATGCGGACACCTCCATTGTTGGAAAAGAAGTTCATCTGCAGTGTGACAGCGGATTATTTCCAAATGCCTTCTGCGGAAGTTCGATGGCAGCATAACTGATGTCCAGAATCCTACTGCAGCGGCCATTCGTTGACTTAAATTTCTGGACATTCAAGTATGAAGTTTCTAGTTCCTTCCACCAGCCATACGACCTTTGTATAGTAGAAGAAATAGTTCCTCTCCGAAAGCAGATTGCCTCTACCTTCTTACTCCGTGTTGCATGCTCTCCTGGCCGACGTCTGTCGTGTTTCAGCTCCCATAAGAGAAGCCCATGGGCTGGAGTAAATCGTTTATGATCTACCAGTTTGTGTTACAGGGCCCTCCTTTTCTTAATCTTCTCTCCAACGGCGCACACCTGAGCCCGGAATATGATATAGTTCGTTATGCGTCCTGCAATTTAACCTACATTATACGCTGAAATCAACGCTTCCGCAAGCAATTCAACCGTCGTTCCTGGTCGTTTGTTAGGACGGCTGTTTCCACGCTATAGAAATTCACAGACTTGACTGAGGCAGGGTCCGAGCTGCATTTTTAAGGAACGGGTTACTCGTCTCTCATCCTAAATATTTGCCAGGATACTGAAAGCACTGAGGCTACGGCGACCCATCTATTTAACACTAATTATATGGTGTCGTCGCTGAAGATGACCGAGCTTAGATATATGAATATAAGAAAAGCAACTCCCTTCCAACAAGGGGAGCATCTATACAAAAGCGTTCTGTGAAAGACGGTTTCCATCCACCCCTTACTCAGAAAAGCCTATGCCGCCTATGATCAGCCTGTCTACATCAATATATTCACTGCCAGTACAACTGTGAAGGTCTCAAAAAATGGTACATACTGATGCACTGATCAAGCATACCGTTAATGTACCAATCTTCAATCATCTATTAACATCAATCTTCTGTCAACCAACTGTCATGTCCATAAAAGATGGCTTTTACAGTTAATTAACTGAATCAACTGACCCCACTGTATCATAAAAATGCGACATCATTCACTATCTCCTTGTTTATGCTAATAAGCTCAAGCATCCTGCAAGTGAATGTACCTGTAGTGAGTCATGGGCGAAGATCCTTTCGTCAAGACTGCCACAGATATAATGCTCGATCAGGTTTCGTGTTTTCACAGAGTTGTCCGAAACAGCAGTGCCCTTCATCGGCATGCTCAGCTCGTGACTTAGCAGAGAACGGTTGAGGGCGAATAATACCTGAAATCGCAGACCAATGATTTGCTTCGTAACCGTGAGCTTGAGAACGTCGTGCCGGCGTGATGTCTTACCAACTCTTTTTTGAGAGAATTCAGCGGTTCGCACTGCTCCTCGGCCGTCTCTATCGCCCCGGTCGGCTTGGACATCATCACAGCCTCCTGCGTCAGGTACAGGTCCAGCACAGGAATACCCCGTCTGTGGATGCTGTTCTGGTTGAACGAATTCAAGATGAACATGATCCAAATCGGCCGCTTTCGTTCCCAGTCACCTACAAGCGTCGTTCGTTACTTTAACGTCAAGTCTTTCGTCCCGTGGGCACTGTGGCAAATGCTTGCCTGCAATCGTGTCGAACAAGTGCATCGCGTAGGACTTCGACTGGTCAGGCTCAGAGTCGTCGACCGAAATCCAGCGCGGCAAAGCGAGACGGATCTCAGCCATGTGAGCCTTCAGCTGCTCGTACATGGCCAAGGGTAGGTGATCGCTCAGCCTCTCGCCATCAGGGAGGTATTGGCACATTGCTAGCCGTTCCAACTGAATTATGTATTTGTAGCACATTGTTGAAGGAAAGCGATATATCTAAGGAGGAAAGTTTTACCGTTTTTGGATTGTTCAGATCCAGCTCGAAAAACACAGAATCTGAGCGACGAAATGCCTGCTTAGCAGCCTGGTTAACGTAGTCCCATACTTCTGTATAAGGCACGTGAATAGTTCCAAAAAAGAATGATGGCGGTTTCCGTTTGATTCGCCAAAGAAAAACACTTTTTCTTCCGACAGGCGTCTGAAATAATTGCATTAATTTAAATAAATGACCTAAAAGTAATTAGGCACAGCAAAAACGTTGAATAACATAACACATTTACATTAATCGCGGATTTTAATATTAGGCATTTTCTTCACCGGAAGCAAAACGTTTTGATTTTCGTTCCTGATTCTAATTGTTACCACACAGCTGGAAGTTTTATTGTCGTCATTCCTCAACCATATTCCCTGATTAACATTGGCTACTGCTAACCATTGCCTAATTCCTGATACTGGTTGATTCATTGCAGTTGCTGTTTCATTTGAGCTCTTCCTCTTTTTCGTAGTTAGATGCGATTTATTTCATTCAACTAAGTCAATGAAGGTTTGATAGGTCATTTTCCCATCATCACAAGTAATTCGTTGCTTTCCTCCAATAAGCAAAGATATGAACTATATCGATGGCACATTTATAAGCGATTGGTTGCTTCGAGATTCGATGGAAAAGACCGATGTTAAAGTCCGTCCTTATTTTGCTACAAATGTTTCGGTTAAACAATATTGTTCTAAGTATGGCCAATATGGTTTGGCCGAAATGCTGGAGTTAAAATAGCTTTTAAATTCTGTCTTCTCTGTTGTGTCTGCAATCATCGAATGATTAATACATATACTGAAGAAGAGGACAGAATCTAAAGGATTTCTCGGATGCCTTCAGAACAGTTACTTGTAATATATTATTAAAGTCATTGCACGAGAATAAGTCACAGACGAGATAATCATGCGTCAAATTTTTCTTTACGAACATCGTGCAACAGTTACTGACGTTTCGTAGCAAGCTCGGTCGTCTTCAGAGCAACTGTGATATTTACACATACAATATCATCTTCCGCATAAAGAAATCTTGCACCATTTTCAATGATAATTGAAAATATATACAGTCTGTTTTTTCATATGTCATACAGTAATCAGCATTCTCATGTTCTTTCTATTAAATTTCTGGAAATGATCACTCCATGCAATTCTAGAAGTAGTAGGACTCCTGGCAGAAGGGTCATAGTTGAATAGAGATACAAGTCGGTGCAGTCTAAAGGAGCAAGTCTACCAGCCTTGTAAATGTTACTTTTTCCGTCTGCGGACAAGCGTTTTAAGATCGTTAAGCGCTGTGAATGAATTAGATCAGCTGTAACTGATCAAAATTTTGCGCTACTTTTATCACATGACCTACTACTTATTGTATCAGTGTGGGTATTGGCACAGTTGTCTAAGAAGCCTGCTTCGAAGTAGAGAATTTGGTTCCGCTCGAGGACAATTAATTCTCTTGAGCAAGGAATTTACCGCACCTTGCTTCAGGTCAGGGTTCCTCAGTCGATAGGTCGTCAAACTCAGAACCGATAGGTCCTGAATTCAAACTCGGCTGGGATTATTCGCTCTTTTTCCTTCCGACGTTGATAGATAAATACCACTCTGTGGGAAGGAAACAGGGGGACTGTAATGGCTGCAAACTGCCTTAAAAATAGGTCACTCCTGTCTGATGGCATAAAAATGGAGATCAGCACCCCACTATCGATTTCATGAAAAGAATGGTGTCAAAATGGCCCAGTCATGAAAGTGAAGAAACATCGACATTCCAGCGTTTATCAGCTTTCCTTTTCATTCACATTCATCGATGCTGCTGTTCCGTCTGATCAACAGAACGATAAGACTTTATATCCTTTCAAGCACAGTAATTAATATATCACTGAACCGGCATAAACTACGTAAGGCAAAGTGATGTACTGCTTTTTCTGATGGAGGTTTTGCAGTCTGTGCAGTCTCAGGTGTTGGTAATCGATGCATTCTCAGAAGAACACTCCCATAAACTGCAATAAACTCTTATTTTACCTAACCTCTTCAGTTTATGTTTCCTTTTATGATGGGACCAATGCAATTCCTTGAACCGGAACGTTTAAGTGACGAGTTAGTCATTTCTACAGCTTTTATCAATGATAAAATCCATCTATTAAACTGGAGTAATTTCATTTCGATGCATTCCAATCGTTGCTGATGAAATCGTTTTCTCCTAATAACCCTGACAGCTCATCCACCTCGTTTTGAAAATCACTAGTACAAGAAATTCACATATTTAATATACCTCACAGATTCAGCATCTCTAGTATCAATTTGCAATTGTTAAATGGTAGATGAAACGACACCGGTCCGAGATTCTTTCTCGTTTTACAAGAGCGCCATCTGTAATCCGCTATATGCCGTGAGACAGATAATCGACAGAGAATATGAAGGTCAGACCTTGTACCCACTTGCTATAGGGGTCAGCTAAAAACCTTTCAGAAACCAGCCGCTGAGTCTGTGCGGATCAGTAGCTTTTGGGAGAGATACTACGGATACTAGGTGGGTCTATGGGCAAAGAATGGCGCTCGAAATTGAAAGATTGTGTCTGAATCTTGCCGGGTGATTCGCCTTTGTATATTTTTAATGTAGATAATTAGTAACAATTTATGGCAAAAAAGCAAGAGAGACTGCGCTGTGGTAGTTATCAAGTCGTAAACATCGCCTTCAAAGTATGATATTCATGGTTAACGGTGTCGTTAACGGAAATTAGCGTTGCACGTCAAGCTGCGTGAGAAGATTTTGCCATATCCAGCATAAAAATGGACAGGAGAACGATATCCCAAGAGTTACAAAACCTACTTTTTCAGATGCTACAACAACAGCAAAATGGTCAAAGATACTTTTATGAAATGTTGCACGGAAAGTATTAAACGATTTTCTAGGTTACATGGACGACACTCTTATAGGGCAACAGTTTTAGGGATGCGTCATCTTTCTTTCATGATAAAAGTGCTAGATGTATTGTGATTCACGGCATGAATTCATTTTATTAACCGATATTTGCCTTAAATATTTTAGCTTTCCCTATTGTGATCAAATGCAGTCAGTCGAGAAGCAGTTATGCTATTTCTGAATTTATGGCCATGATGCTGATGGCTGCAGTACGACTTCAGTCGTCTCACAGTAAACCCTATGTTTGCCTAAAGTTGAAAGGCTCTGCACCAATAGGTCAATCTGGCAAGGGAAGTTAGATTAAGTCCATTGCCAACCTTCTACAGCTCCTGACATTGACAGCAAGCTCTTAATCAATTACAGTCATTTAAGTGCTAGGCACTAAGATTACCAATAGGTTTTTTGGTAAAACTCTTTGAACCGTTGTATTGAGCCCTGCTATAGCAGTAGAAAGATATTTTGGACTGTGGGCCAGAGATCTTTACAAAATTTCCTAACTTTGCGAACTTGGCGTCACGAGTCAACGTGCTCGACTGTTCGCTTGAGAGATATTTTCATCTGGAAACATCTGCTGCCTACGTAGCTGCATTTAATTGGTCAGAATGCTTTGATTTTTCCGCTTAAACGTTTCGACTACCGATTAAGTGGAAATTTAATGTGCAGGAAAACTAAAGTAGTTTAAAAAAAATTACCGCCCGTGGAATGTCCTCGTTATTTCTCGAAGCACGTCTTAACTTCGCTGAGAGAACTTTTCTACCTCATCGTTTTTAGGTGAAATTGCTAACTGCCATGTCCGTCTCGCATAATGGCCTTTAAATAGAGTAAAATTATTGGGAAGTTAGTAAGTTTGTAGGCAATCTGATGTGGGTAGTCTGATGCTTATGCGGTAACATGTGAGGCATACCAGCTTCTGAAAGATAATTCATAACGAGCGCAAGGTGGCTCTAACGAACAAACTGATGCCATGCATTTAGCGCTGTAGGTGACCAAACATCACGGTGCCGGGGTCTGCTCAGATGAACCATGTTAACTGGGAGCAACGGAGCAGTGCACTCTATACTGAAATCAGCTTCTAGAATTCATTCTGGTACTGGCATACTCTAACATGCAAACCCACAGTTTTGAATAATGTATGTAATATGAGATATCAAATTTTTCAGTAACCGATGCTTCTACTGATTGCTTATTGGACAGCTGCTGATAAGAGTGAAAATCGAACGCTTTTGCACTTCTAAGTCGTGTCAAAGATCACTTGGGATTATCAACGGAGAAAATTATGATACATGGGTGTTAGTCTCGAAACTTCAATTAAGTCAAAGATGTGATATGTGGCCTCCTGGAAAAATATGCCTCGCAACTGCTAGTTAATGAATCCAGTGCACTTTGCAGTAGTAAACAGCAACCTACAGAAAATAGTTTGTCAACCGAGCACACTTGGTGGATAAATGAAAGCACGTCCGATAGTAAGCCATTTATTCGACACAATACTTTCAGAATGCTGTTCTTTCATTAGCATTACAGGGATAGTAAACATGAACACTGCGGTCTAGTATTGTCAATAGGCTAACTAATATCGTTTATTACTAATTGTTATGCTGATAAAAGAGCACCGCTGTGGCGTTCCGAAATCTTCATGTAGAACAAGTTTATCTTCTTATTCTGAAATACCTTAATATCTCAGTCAAACATCCGTTTTAACTCTTTGTTTGTGAACTTTCAGAAAAGTCACTTTTGGTGCAAATATCGCGGTATATGTCACAAATTGATGTTTATTCTTTACGCCAGTTTCCCTTTTTCCTAACTTATATATTCAGTGAATTAAGTCAACTGTCAAATAGTCAAGAAAGATCAAAGCCATAAAGCGCCGCCAAATTGCGTGACAACATGTTTCATGCGATTGGTCTGGTCGCAGTTAAACTGGTTTCCTTTAAACACTGTGGAGCCAGTCCTTTTATCAATGGACTTAGCAAATAACAGGAAACAGTTTGCCAACTTTCCCTTTCTTCTGTTGAAGTGAGTACCTGGAATTGGTGCCGAAATTCTTCACCGTAGGCTGAGACGATCGTCGCCCACAATCTGTTAATATCTGACCAAAACTGCACGGAATCCGTTTCATTTGATAAAAGTTTCGGAGGAATGGTCGTAGTTCATGACGGTTGGAATCCCGAATAGATTGCCGAACAACTTGACACCCAAAAGCGTTAAAGTATGGAGAAGATTGCCAGAAGGAGCGTCTGTTGACGTTTGTTGACTTGTCCTCAATTAGAATGCGTCAGATGAAGGGGGTGAAGAAAACTTTACTTCGTGCTTGGATTCGAACCGACGTCATGCAAAGCGGTGGACTACCCTCTGAACCAATTATCGTTTCAACAGGGATGCATCTCGCTAAAACGCCTAGTTGATTCGTTCTGAACCCAGTATAATGTGCTGAGTATGTGAATTATATACCCTTATGATTTTCTTTGGATGAAAAGGTGAAACGGATTTCCCACTGTA